CGTGATAATAAAATAAATGCGATATTTACTATATGGGGCTAGCCATCTTGAATGCAGTATAAAACTAAATAAGAGACAAGTTGTTAAACGCACAAAAATAGAAATCTTTCACAGAAATGCGATTCGTTGGGGTTATATTAAGCCAACCGATAACAAAATTCGAGCGAATTCGGCGTTTTTGTGTGGAAAATCCCTTAAATACAAACATCTAATTAAAGAAATAATCTAGAACACTAAGCCGGGGTATTTGAAACCGAAATTGTCATCTAACTGTTAGGCCGTCGTTGATTGGCTGCTGAGCTGGAATGGTAATTTGTGGTTTCACAAATTGTCTCTTATTTAGTTTTATGCCGCATTCAAGATGGTGGCCCCCATATAGTAAATATCGCGTGTGCGCCAGCTGACTGTGTTTTTAACCTTCGAAGATCGTATACACGCAACCAGAATAATTGTTTTAACACTTCCAAGTTTGGGATATTCTATTATCAGTTTTTTAAGGCTATACAACTTTTGAAATTGATGTATACTTAAGTGGTAGTAAGTCAACAGTGTATAATACATACATGCGCTGTTTATTAAAATATTGTTTCCGTGAAAGATTTCTTCCTACGTGAATTCTTACACACGACCAACGTCGTAATGTTGTTTTCCCAAAGGGAACTCAAACGAAACAGCGTGATTAATTGCATATTGAAGCTAGGTGACGTAACGGGGCAACGCTACGTAATGGTTTAACTAGTAATAGTTTATTGCGCAAGAAAGTGTTAATGGCGTAATAATCGGTGGTAGTCGTGATCGTTCACAGTACAGTAATATTGTTCTTATCACACTCTGACTACACTCTCTTCGATATCGGTTGACGCGTTTTCAAGTATTTGCAATTTCTAATAACGTTCTCACAATTTATTCCTATTCAAGATTATGTTTTGACAAAAGTGACGAAGACGAAGATGCCGAAAATGGCGAGACCAATCCTGACATGCCGGAAGCGGAGGTAAAGAACGCTTGGAGCTAAAGATGACGTATAACATTTAATACGTGAAGACAATAGAAGTTTATGGTCGTTTGGCCCATTGAGCATTGTGCTAATTGCGCTGAAAGTTCTTCGTATTTTTTCTGTAGTTGGGTATGACGCAGGGACTATATTCCTAATTGTCAAACTACCGACATGCAATGCGATCTACGGGGTTTCCTCAGACGAGGAGAACAATAGGTCGTAAATCAAACCACCCACAAGTCTGGACTTCTAGAAATAACGCAAACTCGTCTCTATTAATGAGACTAGTCACCTGTTAGCTGTCCTTAAATTATGATCGTCTTCAGTGAAATGGTGATGACGTCAACGCTATCATATCCGTGTACTATAGTAAACCACGTGACCATTGCGTAGGTCGGTCTGTGAACATGTGACAGCTTATGCGTCATTATAAAAAGAGAACAATTCAATGAACTTACTATTTTAAAGCATTGTTAAAATAGGTAATTTAAACCCACCATAACATTTTATAATTGAAAATCTTATGATGTCTATGTACATTTTTTTTTTTTTTTTTTAAATTGTTATTCTACTGATTGCTTCAGCGAAATGAAGAACGGATACTTGCACTTTCAACAAAATTATTTGGCTTCTGGATCATCTAGTTTAAACATTTTTCTTTTTAAATATGCGCTGTTATTATGATGCCAATATTGGCGTCAGTAAGTCACAACGGCGCATTTCAAGGTGAAGTTGTCATTTCTAAAAGAGAAGAGACTGTAAAAGACTAGTTTAACAGACAACCAGCAAGTATGTGGCACATGGTTTGTTCTGATGCTATGATATACTTGTGTTTGGCATTACCGTTTCCAGAACTTTTAACGGGAAGACAATTTCAATTTTCACTTTGATAATTGTTAGGGACATTTGTGGGCAACTTTGAGTATTTTCGATAATGTTAAAATAACTTTAATATTAATTTAATAACACTGCCATGATACGACTTATTGTAGTCATAGGAGTGGTATTTTGGCAAAAAAATAAATCGCCATTCACTCAATGATTTGTGAAAACTTCATGCGCGGTAAATCCGGGCGCATGCGAGTTTCGTCTAACGTTTCAATTCTACTAAGTAGTTACATCCTGGAAAGCATCATATTGTAAATGACGTGCTTAGTTTGAATAAACTAGGTCACCAGTCTCAAATCTCCGTCCAACGTGCTGGTTGAATTAATTTCTCCGTAGGTGGCGCTATTTAAACAGCCATATAAAGTGTTTTAAATATGATATTTCATTTTTGAATAAAATGTTATATACAAACAATGCTATAGTTCCTATTTGCACCACAATCATTTAAAAGACATCGTAATAGTCGTAGTTGTTCTCGTAGATTTTGTCCACAAAAACGTAAAATATTTTGTTTTCGTATTACTGTAAAAATTTATTGTCATCGGATTATAGCATTATCATTCACCCTGTGTTGTAGTCCATATGACTCTGCCGCCCTTGACGATTTGGTCGTAGCATTTTATTATAATAATTATAATAATTGAGATTAATCAAAATAATGACCAATGTTACTGATATACTGTAAATTAACTAATTTTCACTGATTTAGCATTTCAGGAATATTCAGTGGGTTTTAAATTCACGGTTTTTATTTAGATAATGTGTATATGCTCAATTTTATATATTACTTGGTTTTAATTTAGCGCATTTTCCAGTCAGAGAAATAAGCAAAATTAAAACCCAGTGAAGAATTAACCTTTATACAGTAATCTGAACTCGTAAGTTGTTAGTACTTAGTGTACGTAGACGGGTGGATAAACGGGATATAAACAAAGATACAAGATGGCTTTGTCGATCAGTCTCACAAGCCCTCTCTGCGTAAAATCAAATTCGTCGTATATTTCGCTTGAAAGTACCACGCAATGAGCGGAATGTTTATTACATTGGCAGGGTAGAAATGTTTCGCTGCTTGGTGGAAGTTCGTGGCCGGGCCGACAACTTCAGTGCACCTAGTTTGATCAATATGAGTCTAAATACCTACATCGGCTGATGAATGTGTCAAAATATCAAGATATTCAGGAAAGTTTGTATCATTTAAAAAAATACATTCAGGTTGTTTTTTGCAACCACAGCAAAATGTGTGACGACAAGTTTTGTCGACATTAACTGCAACTAAAGCGGTAAGTCGTTCGATACGTGTTTGATGACTTAGTATCGTGGTAGGTTCGGTTCAATTTGAATACATTTATATAGGATTTTAATAGTTGACCAGATACACGCAAGTTACGTACACGTATATGACAGTGGTCATCAGAGGATATGCTGATAATCCTCCTTGGAATTCGTTCTGACAAAGAAGTATTTTTGTCGGGAGTTTCTATTTCGAAGTGTGCATTTCAAAAGTACAATCATTATGCAACATTTTGTCAGTTTTCTTTGATGCGACAAAGTACCGCATACAAAATCCATTCACTAATAAAGGCGCCAGTGAATGATGTTCTGTATGTATGTATAATTGTATATTATCTACCGACATGGAATTGATCTACTGCGACTTCGAAAATGTACAAACAATAAATACAACAACATCGAACGCCTACATGATTCCGTGGAATTGGAATCACCCGCCAGTTGAAAAATATAGGCATGTAATTTATTAATTATTCGACCTTTGGTGACACCATGTCTCACATGATTGGGTTTTTTTCAAGGGCAAGATGTCGAGATTTGCAAATTTATAGTGGGCGGAACAGAAATTGTCTAGCAAATATTCTGGAGTATATTTTCATTAGCGAAGCGGAGAAACAGATGAAAGAAGCCGAGGTGTTGTAATCGATAATTACAAAAATATTATTGGTGTGCACAATACATTTCGCCATGAAATATTCTTAATATATTTATGAATTCAGTAGTCAAAACAAGCAACATGAGATTTAAAAAGTATAAACGATATCATATTATTCGTTTGTTAAATGTATAGTCAAGATAATGGGAACCTACATAATCTCTTGAAGTAAAACAAAATGTAAAATATGAAACACGATCACACATGGGACTGATTTTTGTCAAAACTTCGGCAGAGCGCCCTCTTGATTTGTGCAAATACCCTGTGCAAAACACTGTGTCGGTGCCGATCAGACAGCTTCATGCGGACTAATAATATTCCCAAAACAATTTGAGTATTATCTCTAAATTTATATACAATCTGGAGATACTACAATTCCGCGTGAATTATGGCAAGCTACAATTGTTTTCAGAGATATAAAGTTCGATTCATGCGTACCTATGTGGTATATAATTTCATTCTGAGATATATTTTTCACATTTATAAACGGTAAGACAAATTAAAATAAAAAAAAATACATTAAAACGATTACTTACTGGCCAATCAAATATAGCAGACAAATAACAGCCATGATTTGACGACGAGCAGCTCTCGTTCTAATCGTTTTCTAGTGAAAGATCGCCATTAGTAAACGTATAGCACATTTCACGTAAGTAGAAACTACTATAATGTGTTTTACGGTACAATTGCCATGGTAACGAATAATTTATTTCCTGCAGATTATTCCTATAGTCGGATATTACAACTGGGACATACTCATTTTTGTTGTGATGCACAAAAGTTTATATCGATCGATGATCGGTTCAATATGCGTGATAAGTCTTGACAACATGAACAATAGATTTCACAGTGAGTTGACAATGAAGTTTTTATATAATTGACACACGAAATATAGCATGCAAATATGCACCCATTCACCAGACACCTGTGTGGGTACACGAATTCACTCAGACGTGGAAAAGAGTGCTGTATCCGGCTTCACTTAGAAGAAGAAAGACGAGGATATGAGAATGGAAGAAAAACTACAAACGCGCCATTTTCGTCTCTTTGATATTAAAATATATCGATCAATGGTCACCCTAGCAATAAGTAGAAATGAAACGCTTTCTTTTGTGATATAATTTGCGTTGATATGTAACGACAGAAATAAATTCATCTTCCGTGAAGCCAGCAGACCGCGAATTTATGATACTAGCGCTGGATAACGGTAGCGTCTACGGCTTCTCAATTCATATTCCGTGCAATGAAGAACTCATACTGCTGGATATTTGGTACCGTCATAACAGGTAATTGCGATACATACTGCTTGATAAGATTCTTATTTTTGAGTTGAGAAAAATGACCGGTTTGCACGTTATACTGTTGCTTGCTGTTGGCATGGGTTATGTTTCTTCTGTCCGCTCAATACAGTAATTCATCACCATGGTAACGTGCGTTATATATACAACGTATATACACATAAATATGTGGATTGCATGCAGTTTCCAGTCAAATTAGACAATTATCTTCAGTTAATGTGCCTAATGTAATGTGTCGAGTTATATAATATCGGTTATTCGACTATCTTGCGCATTATGTTTGAACTTAGATTTCATGATATTTTATTTCCTTAACCTTAAAATGTGCAAATACAAATATAACACCAGTTTAGATTCTTGGCAAACAGGATAATATTTGAAATAATGCTGACAGAATTTGTACATCCATGATGTGTGATGACTATTAATATAAACTCGTCATACACCGACACGATCCGCATACGAGTATATGACGTTTTAAAAGTCCGCTGGTTAATCGTTAGTTAGGTTTGAAAAATCAATGGCATTTTCAAAATTTAAAATAAGTGCCAACTTCTTGTATTAGTTGTTTTGAAACAGTAGATTGGATTAGAATCTATCAAATTCCCCCCCCCCCCAAATTTCAATAAAACTAAAACGTCTTTTTCAAAAATAAAATTATAGACAAGACATTACGATAATACATGTACACACATTTCGTTCTCTCTTTTTTAATATAGTTTTTGTCATTAAGTGTGTGGCGGTGCCATGTGATTTGGGTGAGTACCACGACGGCGTAGTTACACCATCAACTTTTCATGCTGATGAGGGCATATGTTTATTGAACTTGCAATCACCAAATATATATGCTGCTGGAATTGGAGACGGAAGCACAAATGATGCATATGTAAGACAGTCAGTCAATTCATGTGTGTATTATCATGTATACAAACAATCATGCTTTTGGTGACATTCAATAGAGGGTAGATGGTCGCCGAGATCTCATTGAGATCGAGAGTGCCACTGGACTTGTTTGTATCCTTTCAAATAGTGGTTCATTCTCTCGTGTCACCGCTTTCACTATTTTACTACACGTGAGTGACTTTGTTACATAGTTACATGTCACGGTGAAACCTCAATTGGCTATTCTGGATAGACGAGGCAAATACATTTCTGACACGAGAGTTTTCTGATATTCTTGACAGTCACGTCTTTTATAAACTATAATTTGTATGGTTTATCTTTAATTACATTGTAATGCAGATTCTTGTCATTGCATTTCCCAAAGGCCATTGTGGAAAACAATTTACTATACTCTAATTTGGTGTTCAGGCAAATTGCACATCTATAGTGGATATCATTGCAATAAGATACTAACATGATTATGTAACGATTAGACGTTATAGTTACTGTCCGTGAAAGGTAATCATAAAACTTGATTTATGAATATTTTGCGCAATAATATTTTGCGAGTTTGGCCAATATTTGTTCCCGTGGTTCAAGTTTGCAGATTTTGTTTTTCGGTGGTTTGTTAAAGGTTTTGTTATTATTATTTTCACTCCTAACGTCAATCCTAATGAACATATCATATAGATCTATTGAAGTACTCTGTATATATAAAATAAAAATTCAATACCTACTTTCATTAAAATAATCCGCTCTATAAGGTAGGTTGTATTGACTTCATTCATCATTCTTAATTTTAGTACTGTGGTTCATGTGTTAACGTGTCAACTCCACATGCGTTTATAGTCGCCATGGTTGTTGACGAATGTAAAGAATGTGTAGGAGATTATGATATAACTCTAGATATCGATGCGATGAACATGTTATCTGCAAATACTGGCCAGATGGACGTTAATGTTCGTTGGCACCTCATCCCATGCCCTGGGATGGTTCGCACCAAGAACATAACATTTGAGGTATGTTTTATAATATTAAATCGTTTACTTGTTTGGACGGTTGCCTATTGCGAAGCAAGATGTACTTACTATTTTCAAAACATTTGACGTCACATGTATACAATGGGTTAATGAATATGTTATTACTGGCTTGGCTCTGTGGTGTAGTTTGCTTGTAAGTTGTTTTCTTTTTGTAGTTCTGGACTTTTTACTAACGGATGTCGATCGTTTTTGTTGTGTACTTCGACTTTTGTTTAAAGATCAACCACTAGATAATAACACTTTTTTTATTAACCAGATTCAGGGAGTTGGTTCTATGACTGAATTCGCTATAAGAGCTGTTGACCACGCGTACCCTGTCACGGCCATGGAGGTATCAACAGACGGGACGTTGTGGAGTTTTCTAGTCCGAGACGAACGCAACTATTACCATAGACAAGCGAATGTCTATACATGGGATACGCCCTTCCTCATAAAAGTTTATACAACTATTGAAGAGAAATACGTTAGCTACACGATCGACAACTTGAATGAAAGTCAAATCACAAGTAATGTACAATTTGATAATTGTGGCGGTGAGTACATATAGCACATAACCATGGCAACAATATTCTGTACTATAAGTCACACAATTACACATCTAGAATCAAAGTATATACATTAAGCTTTCTCAAAAAACCTCTTTGCATTAAATTTGAAATATATTTAACTCATCCGAACATTTGAAATTTCCTTTATATGTGGTAACATTTAGCTTGTAACGATGCGTCTAGTTGACAATGTTATTGGTGCGTAAAAAAAACGAAAGAACTGAAATGGGTTACAGTGATAACATGAAAAGCAAATCAATCCCCGGAAATAATGTAATCGCGAAATAAAATGTGTTTACCTTGTTTATATATTTAAACGATATTGGTTTCAAAACGCGTGCAATTAAAGCTTCAGCAGCTTGTCCTGTGTGATAGACTTCAAGATAATAAAACAATTTGTCGGGAATCATATTTTTCAAAATTAGAAAGGAGCGCATGAACCTTTTTGTAATAACATGTCAGTTTCAGTATAGATCTTTTGACAAGCCCCGCAAAAATACATCATAGTAATTGTTTAGTTTAAGCAACACTGAAGCCGCGCATTGCAATTTTTTAAATTTGTGAAGATGTATTTTACACGCGTTGTAAATGTCGCATGGAATTCATATAAATAACGATGCGTTGTGGCGATTAATTGTATCATCGCACCTTTTTATAGAACTGTTTTGCCTCTGACTACTGTTAGCTTAATATTACTTATAAAAGATTTTGATCTGCGTCACAACTCAATGAATATTCGTATAAGTGAGTATGCATAGAACGTTTGTTTTGTTTACTAATTCATTGGTAAAAAACACTTTCAAATAAATAGCGTAAGAGTTATGTTTTGTATGCCTGCGTACATACTTTACGGTGGAGCAAGCATTTTGTTCCACTCAGCTTTGTCAAAAGTATATTTTCCAAAGATTGTGTCGCGATTTAAGTAAAATTGATTCAATGGACCCGTGGCAATGTTTTCCATGTGACCTGATACAAGCATTACATCAATGTACATATTGCTGTTGTGTATTGAGCAGAATCCACAATAAATGCAGTTGCTAGGTGAACAGTATTACAATTGATGAATGTCGTTATGAAATCGGTTGAATATATGTATTGAGGCTGGTCGTTGCCATGGGAAGAAAATAATTAGTGATTATCGGTAATATAAACTCTATTTACCTTGAAGGTGTTGAAAAATTTGAGGAAACCCAAAATCATGAACAAAAACAAAACTGGCAGACTGACAACCATCATTTTAACTGTACTATGAATACACATTTTAAAGTATGCATTAAAATACTAGAAATATAACTTATCATTTAATATAGCAACAAGTTATTTCAAAGTAATGACTTTTGGCTTTTGACGACTTTGCAATTACTTTTTTTAATAACTTTTTGGAATATGGTACATATGAATGTTTCCGTTATATAGCGGTAAATTAATAAAATTCAGCAACATGCGCCTTGGTTCAAAAGTCACGTATACGGATTTCAAATTCACGTACATGATTAATTTGCCCGTGTACGTGCTTCGAAATTGTCAAAAATTTCATATGTAGTAATTTTCATATGCCCATCGCAAATATAACAATTAATACACTCAGTTAATTAACATTAATAATGGGGTACTTCGACTAACATCGGTTGCTTGACTATATTTCTTTGAGTAATTAGATCTCTCAAACTGTCGAAATTGAAGTCTGCAATTTATATCCAGTAAAGCACACAGTTACAGATTTGATTACAAATTTCTCAGGTATTTTTATAAAATACATACTTATGAAGATCAAATTTAGATTAAATTATGTACAATGAATCTTTAAATTTTAAAGGTTAATTTAAAATATGAAATACTTAACGTGACTAGCATTTCTAATGGTTTTGAGAGAATCATTTTGAATGAAAATGAAAAGACCGACGAATCTTACCCCCAAAAAATCATCTAACTTAACTGATTCAACATTAATTCAGGAAACTTATTGCATGAGCGGAAAGAAACAAGTTATTGTCTCGGTATTGCACACCCACGTCATGCTATTTGCACTTTGCGTTATATATTAACAGAAATGTATGCTGTATAAAGTTTGAGGCGTCAGAGAATTGACCATATAGTCATTGTAAGCCCGTGTACATTACGCGCTATTTAGAGCCTTCACTTGGAGGGCGCTTTCTGTGGCACGATTTTGTGTTTATGAAATCCACGCGTTTTTAATTGAAGCCGTCACTACAGCCTCCTTTCCAGTCTAACTTAAACCAATTCCAACCTTTATAGAATAGTTTACTGAATTTCTGAATAATTTATAATGTACAATGTTGCCTTTCCGTACTAATGCTTTTTCGTCAGTATTGTTAAATAATTGTTTTTCATCTCGCCTTTAATATACTCCTTTTTCGCTATTTTTGAGACTTCTCAGTCCACTTACTACATTTTATATTAAAACACTCGCTCTCGCCCTTAATCTTTTATGATATTAAGTGGTAACAGAAAAAAAAATACGAGAGCGGAGAGCGTTTGAAACTTTCGCCGGAAGTATTCACACATTCTTGAATGTTTTCAACTATTTCAAATTTTACAAATATACCATTTTTTTTATGCCGGTTCTCCAGGTACGACCTAACATTCTTCCATTCATTGATTCTTCCATTAGATAAAGCATATTGTAACATTTGGTTGGACATTTGTGACATATTATTTAATTTTCTTCCGTTGTTAATGTCTTCCATACCCGCCCAAGACACATTCATTTGGGGTCTGGGCAGAAACAGATAGAAAATAGCTACCCGCGAAACATTGTACACATTCAAGACACTTATAATTCCTAAAATCTCATATTTCGGACTATGTGTTAAAATTTGTAATATCCTGGAATATAAAAATCGTTTGAAAAATACGTCATATTTGTTGGTCCAATAACATCCGTGTCATGCCTACAAAAGAGAACACATTACTTAGAGATTGATATTATGACACTGCTTCAATACGTATACCTTTTTAATACCACATTTTGTCTTATCTACCTGGCCGATTTTCAAAATATATATTAAGTATTGTAGACCAATAACACTTTCTGAAAGAAATACCATCGGCATACAGCAAACAAAAACTTTCAACAAGGCCAGAAAAGTTGTATACCATAATGCTTTGACTGTTGAAACTCAATTATTCTTTCATAAAAAAGAAAAATAGAAAGGGTCTTAACATGCAGCCGTGTCAGACACAACTGGACAGTCAAATACTACAGTTTCTTCCGTTCTCGTGTTATACATTTTTGCACAATTTATTGTAATACAAATATATTATCAATTGCCTAAAACCAGCTTGTGCCTCGGCCCAGTAGTAAAGTCAACGGTTTAGTATTGAGATAAAGTTATGGAGTATGTTCTATAGTTACTGGTGTTATTTGTCAATCTTATGAATTGGAACAATAATAGCGTTGGACCGAAACCTTGGGGAATTTGGAGATTTGAAGATGGAATTGTGAAGGTTATTTAGATATGGGATCACAATATATTCTGAGTATTAAGTTCTCCGGTAAGGTAATCTGGGTCCGCCGATTAAACATATTTACGGACTCTGATATTGAAATATCCCAATCAATTTTCATTGTTACAGGAATACAATAGTTAACAGAGTGTAGCACAATTCACAATTAATTTCAATTAACATAATCTTGATTAATTTTTATTTGTGAAAGAAGGTCATTGAAACTAGTCACTTCGATTTATGGAAGTTTCTGATGGGACAGATCTACTGCAAGTTTTTCTTAACCTCACTGTTGACCAATATGATGTTGATACACCATGAACGATTCTGATTTACATATTCACGTATTTCACAACGACAAACATTTTCAAAAATTACGTATTACGTGGTACTTTTTTCTGATGGTTGAGATTATTCCTGTTACGTATCACTGCTAAGTTTATAATTTCCAGTTTTGAGGCGTTTATATTCCAAATCAAACCATGCATGGTGGTTGCATATTGTTGCACCGTATATTTGTTGGACCATAATTCATTTTTTGAGCAGTAGAATGTATAACATTTAATTACAATGTCACTCACAAACATGTCAGTATCCAAGGCTGGGGTATCAATTTGATAATCCAGAGAGTGGGTAAGAAAATCGATTTCCATGTTTGTGAATAACAATCTTTGTTTAATCCGGCAAGCATTCACATTTTGTGAATATACGTGTTTCGTTTTTATTAGCAATAACGCACAGTAACTGTGAATGACATCTGGACTGATTCAGTGCGCAATCCCAAATAATATGTAATGTTGACTGAGGACAAAAGACCTGCATCACTTTCCTACATTCAATTCATTCGCAGATTGAATGAGAAACAAAGCGACAATAATGATTGACAAAAGTTAATTACAGAAGTATATTTTCTAGAACGCGGTATTTGAAAAGTATTTGTATTATAAATTTGGAAACCATTTACAGCTAAATTAGCATCATCATCCAAAATAAAATCCGGTTTTTTGAATTTGAATTTCCGAAAAAGATAACGTCAACTTCAACTAATTTAGATAATATACACCAGAGTGTTCTCCAATAATTCAATGTCATTTTGTGATCCAAAACTGTTGTTTTGAGTAGTGTTTTGAGGTGCGAGATAATCATTGCAAAATGATGTATTCATCTTTGAATAAAAAACAATGTTTTAAAAATGATTTCACATATTAAATTTGCTATATTGTTTTTTTTTTAATAATATAATTAACGCTCATGTCATAACGATCTTGTAACTTTCGTCGATGTCATTACAGCATGGGAAATTATTGTTTAAATGTTATTACATTAATCTTTTTTAATGTTTCCGTCAGGGAGACGATGTTAAAAGATGTGAGAAAATATAAAGCTATATTTTAAATGATGTTCTAAGTTTAATAGTATACACTTATTGGACAGTGTACTCTATTATGTACAATTCTCCCAACATCACCTAGAGAATCTGTAATTTGATTACTAGTATCATTCAGAATGATGAAAGGCAAGTGACAAGGGTGAAACTAAATTGTAATCACACTTTACGGAACACTTGACATTACTTTATGTATACCATGGGTTCCAGGTATATTCTCACTGGGTGTGTAATGTATTAGTCAGTTGTTTTTATTTTTTGTGGATGGTTTTGTGGATAGTGTTTTGTGCTTGTATTTGTAAATTGACCTGTGCGATTTTGTTAACCGACATCTTCGATTCGTAGATGTTATCCGTAATACATGTATGTGTCAATATTTTCTATAGGCCAGGTACCTGGAGAGAGTCGAGAATCATGTGACCTGGGACTATATCATGACGGCCTGGCTACGCCAGCAAAATACACTAATTATAATGGTTCGTGTTCATTAGTACCCCCACCACTAACTCGGGGTATATATTCTGCTGGAATTGGAGACGGGAGTGTTGTTGATGCATATGTAAGTTAGTTACAGGGCTCTTAATACACTACTCCCAGTTATTTATGTATACATATTGTTCCACGCAAGGGCAAATGAAGCACAAGCCACCTAGTTGACATGCGAACAAGTCTTGTACGTGTCCAGAGATCACTGTCCGCACGCATGATTTTGCTTCTGTGCATCCCTCTAACCACAACCCCGTGCGGTATGTCTACTCATAAGTGCGTATACTGAAGATCGTTTCTGATTGGGCGCAATAGCAAAGTGTTTGGCCAATTAGATTTAAAAAAAATTGTTGTGATACATTTTCAAATATGGCGAACATCATAATAAGTTTAATTTGCGATGACTAACAACATCCACCGATCCATTTATCCCAGCAAAGAAGTGACGTGCATGTTGACGCTGTGACGGGATTGTATATACATATATTGACATCCCTGGCACTTGCAGATACAACGTTGATATTCATTTGATATTCCTGAATTGTAGTCTGACACAAATATATAAATTATAAAATTGTACTAATTTGTATAAAACATGGCTGGGAAAAGTTAACACTGGTTGATAGTAATTTTCAATTAGTTCCCAATGACGTCAGTACAGCATGGTTGCATGTTTTTAAAATCAAATTGAGAACCCCCAATAAAGGAAATGTATCCAAGCATAAATCCGATAGGCTGAATAATGTTCTATTTCAACTGCTGTGACGCAAGTGGCATATGTCACTTTCCTATAAGATATATTGAAATTCAAGATACGAAAGATATGAAAACAACACGAATAAATGTCATGTGAGCTGAAAAAAAATATATATACATGTATATGGCAGTGGATCATCGCTGTTTAAATAAGTCCATTCGTGTCTAAGAATATGTCGTCTGTCTATGCAATGACTTACTGATTGATCGATCGATGGATTGATTGATTAATTAATTGAATATTGTATTGACTGATAATATACTTTCATCGTGTTCTTATTATAGTATTGTGGAGCATGTGTAAACGTGTCAACTGCACGTGCGTATATAGTTGCCATGGTGATTGACAAATGCCGTGGATGCGTCGAACAGGATGATATCACTCTGGATGAAGAAGGGATATACATGCTAACTGGAACTTGGAACGCCATAGATGTTACTTGGCGTCTGACAGCATGCCCTGGTCTGGTTGGAGTAGAGAACATCACATTTGAGGTAAGGTTTATGATACATTTAAATGTTCGTTGTAGATTATATTGTGTACAAAATGAAGAGATATAAGCGTTACTATATACAATGGGTCGTTAATATTTATGTAAAAAAGAAGGATACCCAAACAAGCGAGTTAACGCAAGATTGAAACAGTAATACTACAATGGAAACAAATGGTATATTGTTCATATAGAGTTGTATTGTAAAATGCCACTGCTCTTCAATTATGACTGTAAATTTCGCGGCCGTGAAACACTGTAGCAGTGACAATTTGTTGGTATCTCACTACACGGCTGTCAGTGACTTCCGCAATATTTTGTAACCAAGAAAGGCATACAATCTCGAAGTCGCGAAAAATCGTAACAGTGAAAATAAAACGGTTCATATTACTTTTTTTTTCTTATTTTCTTGACAGTTTCAGACAGACAGTGATGTATTTGCTGTACGAGCCACCAATCACATATATCCCGTTACGTCCATGAGGTTATACTACTACGGAGAGTGGAGAGTCTTGATTCGAGACGAGAGAAATTATTATCATCGTTATTTTGACAGCACACAGATGACAACGCCATTTAATCTGACGATTTTCACAAGTGTTACCCGTCAATACGTTAACTACACATTCCGTGAATTAAGTCTTAGTCCAATACACAGTAATGTACAATTTGACATTTGTGATGGTGAGAAAGTTATTTATTTATTTATTTATTTATTTATTTATTTATTTATTTATTTATTTATTTATTTATTTATTTATTTATTTAGGGAGTACCAGTATCTCATTGTTTACATTGCCACGTGGCAATGTGGACTCTTTTTACGCTTGTGAATATTAACTTTTATGAAATTAATCGCTATAGAGTCAGAAATAGACTGTGACTCTAAACGATGGGACTTGTGTTAAGTATAGAACGGGCAGAGCGGTGACACTACACGTCATCAACATCTCAACGCAGGAGTACAGTTAGATGTGTCGTACATTTTTTTCTATATTGTGATTTTGTAGGTTACTAATTTATATATTCACTTACAGGTTCTGATAGCGGTGTTGGTGCATCACCTACTTGGTTTTCTACGACGCGGTCGATATCAAATGAGTCTCCAACGATCCCTGTAACTACGCAAGTACTGGCCACGACGCAGCCAAAAACGACATTCATGACAACACCTGAGACCACGAGCCCCCCAACAAACTCTGAAGTTACCACCACTCGTCAGGTAACCACCAAATTTAAAGCGGCGACAACTTCACTACAGGCCACCACGACGCCGCCGCCAACGTCAACTTCGGATACAACGATCCTACTACCGGTCTTCACTCAAATAGACCCAACGTTGCCAACAGCCTACCAAAATACGTCGTCGACGTCGCATACAACAATATCTGTTGAAAGTACAACTCACCTGGAAGCAGCTATTACGGACACAATCTTGATGACTTCCATGATGACTTCAGAAGATCCAGATGCAAAACAAAGTATGTACACCCTTATCAGTAATCGTTAATCCGCAACCTTATTTGTCACCTTAGGTAGAATAAAATATGGTTCCTATAACAAGCCTTTCAACAATAGATAGAGTATGTAGGTAGGATTTTAAAAAAAAATTTTTTTAATTTTCTGTGTATTTATTCTTGGTTATAACTTAGTTTCATTTTTTTCTTGCACATAACTGTGCTTTCTTCAGATTTGAGTGTCATCAATTATAATTAAAATTGTTAACATTACCCAGTTTAGTAATATTATTAATTTTTGTAGAGTATTATTAATTTTCGTAGAGTTGCACTCAAATTTTCTTAAATATGGCCGACAAAAGTTAACGCCCGGCAGTAAAATATGGTAGGTCGAGTTATAGGAACCACACGATATTATTGTTTAGGTCTATTTTATTGTGTTATCTACACAATAAATTAAATACAATCTGTTGCCAAACTGTTTATATACACAACTCGAAAACAAATAGATGCCACTACTCAACAAATTTACTACAATCATTATTATGATTTTGCCAATTATGTGTTACCGTATGTACCCAAATTACACTCGCTGTAGTCAGTGCTCGTCACAACCCTGCGTTTTTGATTGACTATAGTAAGCTACTATTTAAACTAGTTTTGTTTCTTGTGCGACTGACTCAAAGAGTACCAACCGCCATCATGTCATTTGTTGGGTATTATCGTCGAGCTCCTCCAGGACAATATAACACGGGAAGATTAAACTAAAAAATTAGGCAAATCTGTAAACTGTTTTTTGTTTTTGTTTTGAATTGCTGCAAATATTACGTCACGTGCCAAAAGTTTGTTCTTAGAAACTCAAGATTATTTTGTTTTATATTTATTCAATCATTTTGAATCCACAATCCACGGTATTCCATGGCAAATGGTGGCCAAACGTGCAATGCAATAACACGCTCATGATTGTGACCATTTTATTTCATATTCAGTATTTAAAATATGCTTCACTTTTAAGTTTTTAGTAAATTATACGACAGTGCGACATGTAATTATTGCAGATTTGCAAATTTTGAGCTGACCTAACAGGACAGGACTCCAGCGTGAAAACACAATTGCATTTATACTCTTATATTGATATGTAATTTGAATTTGTAAATCCACGGACTTCAACAATAAGCACCAATACAGGAAATACCGACGCCTTTTAATAATTTGCAAGCAATACGACTTTCATACGCTTAAATCTGCGATTCAACTTACGGGGCTTTTGTATCCTTTTTGTAAGGCGGATTTTGTCATGAATGTCAATTAAATAGGAAAGTTAGTTATTGAGATCATTTCATATACGTCATTTCTGATTTTAGAATCTCTCAAATGAAGATTTGTACACCAAACAATCGACATTTTCACAATTGTACGTAATATACATGTACATATATATATAGGCATGTATACTTGTCATTTGATTAAATTGTGAAAATCCAGAATGTCGATAATTGTAGTGGATTATTGGATAAAAGAAGTGATATTTCAGTTTTCGCGTCATGACTCAAGATTCGAGCATTCAAAATGTATGGCAAACAACGCAATGACCAGGAATACATTTTGGCATAGAGAGCGCCACCATTCGGCGTTTATTAGTAAACATTTGTCCATTTGTAATAATCAACAACTTGGCAATCAAAACGTGTCGCTGCGTGTGTATGTTGCACGAAGCACCCTGCAGTCCTACTGGGAAAATTAGTCTAATAACATATTAGATAGGAGGCCTCGTTAAAAAAAAATATTTTGAGAGCAACACAGTCGTGTCAATATGTAGACTAATATCACATCGCTGGAAAATACACAGGCAGAACCATCACATGTGCGTGTTTATGAGTTTTCAAAAGGACATGAAATATACGAGTAAACAGCGCTAAATCAACTAGATTGTAAAACGCATTCCTATGAAATTGTTACACTATTTCATTTATGCGACTATAACGGATAACATTCGAGAGTATATAGTCAGAACCAATCACATTTTTCTAAGTAACATAAATATGTTGGTGAACAGCGCCACCCAGGCACAACAATACCGCAATAACCGTAAACCTGCGAACGACGTGTTCCCCTCGCCCATTCATCAACTCCTCGCCCATTCATCAACTCCTCGCCCATTCATCAACTCCTCGCCCATTCATCAACTCCTCGCCCATTCATCAACTCCTCGCCCATTCATCAACTCCTCGCCCAGCAAGTTGGTATTCTTACCAACTGTTTGAAAATGGCGTATTCTAGCATCTTTAAAGCGGGGGAGTCGTCATCTGCGCATGCGGCAAACGGCCATAGCGTGTCGTTGTTTACAACCAAGCGTTTCACCCATGAGCCTTTGCATTTTTAGCGTGCGTTGTTATCGTCGCTTTAATTATTGCATTATATATATGTAATGTTTGAGAAAGCTCGATACAAGAAACATGTGCGTGTTTCTTCAATATAATACCCCCCCCCCCTTTCAATTTAAATGAAATCCCAGCTGCGCTCTTTGACGTATATTAATGATGCTGCTGTGATGACTGTGAACATAACGGAGTCTACAATTTCCGTGCTGGTATGCGTCACCCTGGCGAATATCCGCCGTAATGGTTTTACCTATCCCTTAATTAATTGATTTCTTTGTCACGGTGTGTATATACACATACAATTGCATTGCCGTTAGATTACAAGTATTTTGAAAGGAAATTCGTTAGTGAAGAATTAAAGTCATATATATATATATTTATATATTTTAATTATGTATTGATTATTATATTGAAGTATTAATAATAATAATAATAATATTAATTACATTCAAATCGTTTACTTAAAAGGTAGCACGCAAGAAAATGGAAACCCAAAAGTGAAAGGATTAGGCTATATTTTTATATTCGCTGCTGTTTTACTTGGTATCGGCGCACTTATCGAGGTTGCAGAATGTGTTATCCGAAAGTAAGCCATAACTTTGTTATTTACTGAATACAGCGCCTCGGAGTATTTGTCTGCTAGAGGGCGTGTGTGCGTCGTTGATCAACGCCTGACAAGTGTCACAAGAGCGACAGAAATGAAATAAGACACGTAGTGATGAATGAAAGTTTTGATAGATATACGTATACAGGGCATTATTGAACGAGGGTAGCTAAACGCGGATACGGCGTTTTGATGGTTGATGTTCTTTACTTTTGTATTAATTTGCTGTACTCTCATTTCATTCATCAATCCATGCATTCTTTACACTATTGCATTCAGGATGCACATAGGATCCAGAAGACGTCAGCGTTTGATGGACAATGATGATACAAAACCAGGCAATCACGTGACACCCGCTGAAATATGACACGACGCGCGGACACCTAAAATATAACACTGTCTTGGAAATTGCATTTATAGTATATAACGAAATAAAAAATTGCTACGTTTACGCGACAGCATTCTATTGGAGACGAACTACTGCTCCTCCAAGCGATTATGGTCCGGGCCAAGCGAAAGCCGAGATTTGCCAGAGGTAATTCAGTTCGACCAGAGTCGAAGATAATAGTGCCCTCAAATACTCAGTATGAAAAAAACTTGGCTGAAAACGATGTTGGTGTCGTTCTTGTGTTGTTTCTTTATATGGCACGATGCTGTTAAGCTGGGAGAAAAAAATGGTATCTCGAATAAAATAAGGATAAAATACGCTAAATGTGTTACATCCTATTCGCACGCCATTTTTCTGTTTCCCGTTGAGCTATCAGTTTATCGCAGTATTTTTTTTACTCTGCCAAATAGATATTAGGGCGCGTACCTTTTCGTCAAGCCACAAATTGCATGAAATTACAAACGATGTTGTCTCCGCAATATTGAAATGTAAGGTTAGTTGAAGAAGATGGTTGAGGGCGTGATTCCGGCTACGATAGTTGAGCCCCGATGCGTATACACGGTCGGAGCCATGTCGGGGCTCAACCATATCGAAGTTCAACCCCGAGGATTTATTCGCCCGTAGGGCACCAATAAAATGTTATCGTGTAAACGTATCATATACACTCAAATACGGAAGCGTTGTCTGGTCATCTGGGGAAATTAAGTAGGAATGTATAGTTATGTAAGTTAGTGCAGAGTCATGCCGCCATATATATTTGCAGTGATTACGAAATGAGCTACGAAGGACATCTGCTAATCTGTGATTTGTTACCGTTATTGTTACGTAGATTGTACTACTTCTATATAGATGCTTCACACAGCGGTGATCGCTCAACAAATGTTTACACTATCTAGTACGGAACTACCATAAGGACATGATATCCAGATATGTTATCGAATTTATTTCCAACTGAACTTTGTAATATAACAATTTGTTGATAAATTGTTCTTTTGTAATTGATAAACAATAATGTATAGATTTTCCCAACCAAACTATATTTTGGGTTTTGCATGTTTAGTATTTGAGCGTTTTTTTGTTTTGTTTTTTTGCAATCCCCTTCAGATACACATCGATTGATTATTATTCATGTAAATCGTTAATAAATTAACCCATAATCTGTAATATCTCAAAAATACACAAGGTTTTGTATGGCTTTTTCATTTACTGATTTTATTTACGTAGTTACCTTTTGTTATTATTCATATGAATATTAATGTCAATACTTCTCAGAACATTCGTATTTAATGTGGCCAGGTTCCTGTGAGGATCCTCTTTTGTATGATTGCGTTCTACTCGTTTTCCACCGACGTTACAGACTATCAGGTGAGCCTGGCTCGGGATTCATATTACTTTCAACTCTAAATTATCATGCCTTCTGTGCATTGAACAATTAATTTTAGAAATCATGCAATGATCTCACCCATAGTCACATCATTTTCAACAGCAAATTAGTGTCTCATCTGTTTAACTTTATAATATTCATACCACCTTTCACTCAATGACATGTAGTAAGCATTAATACAATAACTGCATCTTATTACCCACTTTGATGCACCTCAAATAACTTGATTACAACTTTTAAAGAAGAAAAAAAAACGTAAATATACAAAAATAAAACTCTGAAATTACACCTGGTTCATAAAGGCTTGAATTTGTCGCGGTTTTATGGACATTTATTGTACTTCATTCAAATCAAGTGCTTTCATTGGCTATATAAACCATGTGATAACGACTCACCCATGAGTCTTTGCGATAATTCTTTAGTCATTGCAGAAATACTGCCATGAGCGAAAACGATAAATGTCATTAAATTTGTAGTAGAGTAGTAGTAGTAGAGCTTCATACGAGCGGTATTCGATCAAGTTGTTTTCAATCGCCATTTGAAATTTATAAACATATAAATGAAACAGATTCACGCATTCATGAATACCCGGTGTATTATCCATTCAGAGGCTGTCTTATTATACGATAATAAAAGGTAAAACAGCTTATGTAACTGCTTGTAAAGGAAAATATAAAAACAAATAACACTGATTTTGTGAGTATGACTAACCTTTTTAATCTACCAAGGTAAATTCATGTGACTTGTAAACTTAAATATTCACACAAAAGTACGCAGTCATAAATTGTGTACGTCGGATTTTGGAATTGCAAGGCTGGATTATGAAAACTAAAATCACCAGCGGGTCCATGAAAAAACACGTTAATTCCGCCTGGTTAAGCTGGCCCACAGAGAATGTCAAGCTTCAAGGCACACATGCCAGTAACTCTAATAACAATAATAAAGTGAAGCAATAATGGAATACAAACAATAGTATTCCCGCAAGTAACCAAGGCTATATTTCCCCCGCCACAATGCCTAAATAGCCCATACAAACAAAAGCATAGGTACCAAACAGTATAGTAATGGCGTGATACCTCTTCCCACAAAAGTAGCAAGTCTACCATTACCTGTACTATTGCTAGAATTACTTTAATTAGACTTGTCTGCGCAGAGTTAATAATTTCATCGAACATGCATGCACACAATAAAAAAACTCTTACTATAAATGAAACTCAAAATACATACGTTATTGTACACTAGTGTTTCACAGATGCCATGCAAGTGTACAACTCCTGCAACAATTTGAATTTTCAGTGTAACACTCCGGCAAAATACCAAAGGGCCAAAAATAAAATCAGAATTATGCAACTGATGGGGCGCTGTCATTTGAAGAAATACCTATATACTGGTATACAACTATAATTCAATTTGGTACAGGGGGGCTAACCACTCCGGAATTTAACAATAATTTCATACGAATATAGCTCAATTCAACAGTGTTTAATGACAGTCACTTAGGGGCCGAAAATCCAAATATATTGATCAGTACTATTTATTATCTGTGAAACTCCGCCGTGAAATCGATGCGTCGACCATTTTAGACGACCTATTTCTTACGTTAAAATGTGAAAATTAAAATTCTTATGGCGTTCCAGGATAAACTTATAAACATTCTTTCCAATTGCTGAGCTTTACAATCCACGTGACAAGGTCAATGACATTCTAAAGTTGGCCGTCTACACCACGTCATACATGTAAATCGCAATTGAAAGTGTTCCTCATCAGTCTGGAACCTAAATATTGATCTAGGTTTTTGACGAGTACCTTCAATTCAGACCACAATCAAAGTATTAAACCCTTGTTAATAAACTATATTTGTAATGCGTAAGAACAGTCTCATTTGTTCTCCACGTCATGAATAAAATAACGAGAAATCTGGTACACACATGACTGCGCATATGGAAAGCACACTTTGTATGAAACATTTGTGCAAGGTACTAGTAGAGCCCGTACATGGAGCATAAAGTGTGCACGCACTCAAAGCGTGTAACGGCCTATAGACCGGGCGACTTTGTGCTAATATAATTTACCTAGTTTCGAAATTTAAATCTAATATTTAAATTTTACAAAAATAGATATTTTTATTTTATTGTCGATTAAAATATTAACGATCCTCTTTTATTCGTTTTCGAATAAAACATATGCTTGGTACCGAGGCCTAGGTGCAGCTTATGGGAATTCATCATGGTGGATAATGTTTAGTGATGACATCATAAAATCCACTGGTAATGACACTGTATGTAATGCAATATTGTATCAATGTATACGTTTCAGAATATACAGGAAACGTGTACGTGTTCTTTGAAGGCCATAACATGAAATACAATCATAACGTGTCACATAAAATGTAATGCGGTAATTAAGTCAGCAGTTATACAAGATCGACCCCCCCCCCATCTGACAATTAATTTAACACAGTTCTTGTTTTCTTATATTTTTTTCATTTTGTCACAAAATATCTAGTACGAAATAACCAGGCTCCCGTGTGATACACATATTTTTGTAGTTACACGTCGAGTATAGATATATGTCTAAATATCCTTGATTGTTATATGAAAATATTATTATTATTATTATTATTGTTATTATTGTTGTTATTATTATTATTATTATTATTATTATTATTATTATTATTATTATTATTATTATTATTATTATTATTATTATACCAACGTAAAACACACACATAAGATTCATACTCATGATCAAAAACGCTTTATATCAAAAGCTGTTCACTCCACATGGTTTAATACAATACCTGTAGAGAAACGTACGGCGTTGAAAGTTGCATGCTTATATTTTACTTGGTATCTGAATCAGCGCTATCATCGACATTGTAGAATATGTCATAAACAGGTATTTTGTTATTTATTAAACACATCGCCTCGACAAATTTTGTCAGTTACAAGCCTAGGAAATCCTTAAAATACGCACCATACACGGCTATTTTTAATGAAATATTGTGCCTTTAAAAGGGTGGGTTTCGTTCGAAACACATCCTGATATTACTTGACCGATGGCCACGTTCAAAATGATGACATAATGCGTAATATATGAACCAGCAATGTTGCCAGACGACAATGTTTTGATGGTAACTTTGATTCACAAACGCTGAATGCTGCACTGTCATCCGGCATACCATCAGTGTAGATCAGACTGAGGTAATTGCGGGTGAACTTTTATGATTAATATTATTAGAGTACACACACTTTTGAGTGTATTTAAAGTTTATTGTTAGTGGATGTTTTCCCCGATGTGATGTGAAACTCGTCTTGGAATCCTTCACGAAGTTTGAACCGCCAACATTGCAACCACACTGAGCTACCCGTGCCATATGAGCTCCGGGTGGGCACTTGAATCGAAACTTGGTAAGCATTCCGCAACACATAAAACGTGTATTACGTGTGGTTTTCAAACAGATAGTAATCTCCACGTTAGTACGTGTTTAGGGTTATTAAAATCGAAAACAACAGATAAGGGTATTTTTTTCCAAAAGGGTATTTTTTTCTCCGTGTGATTCTGCATCCGGGGATTCCACTCGCAAATATAGTTTGTTTATTATTTGTTGGAAAATGTTTGTACGTATTTCAAGTATTTTATAATGCCATGTTAGAGCATAGATACCCATGCTCCAATTCGATTGCCCCTACCCTCACGTAGCTAAGAGCATCAGTGGCTATGTTTTTGTCAGCCACGTGAAATGAAGTTTCTCACATGGGTTGGGAATCGTAACTCGAATTTGAAATATCATCCCACTCCTTTGGCACTTAATTTCATTTTGTCTGTAAAGGTAGTGTTGTCACTAGTTTTGTCGAATCACTACCTGATGCATTATCTATTTCGACACTTGCCGCTCACTTATTCATGTTTATAATTTGTGTTTTTAAATAATTAATGAATAAATAAGCTCATGGTTGACCCATACCATGGTCATGTGACAATATTAGGAACGTAATATATACTGATTGGCGTCATTTGGTGACTTGTAGCAAAAACTATACCTTAACCAAACTATACTGAATATATTTTGCAAACTGACAGACAAACAATCACTTTTTAATGTTCTTGGCATGCGTACTTTAATGCACATTAGTTAGATGAAACATACTTCCTCGGGAGTGGGTATAAAATAACACAAAGCTATACGAGTATCTCGCGAGTAGCTATATACATATATATATATATATATATATACAAGTAAAAAGTTATATATGATTGTATATACACACAACATACGTGTTTTAGGTTTTAAGACACATCCGGTTGTCGTGAAATAACGGTCAATATTGTCATAATGTTCTTTAAAGGGTGGTGGTCGTCGCAACACGCATGCGCAAGATATGGGACTCTTGCAAACAAAGATGGCGAGTTTGGCTGAGACGTTACCAAGTTTTAACTAGATAATTTCTTTGGAGGGTTTCGAATGAGTCACCGGCGTATTGTTTATCAGCACAAACTACGCACATTCGCGAAGCGACGACTACCGTCCTTTTTAAGTTCTGTTGATTTCCTATGTGTTTTCACGATTGCATTAGACTTTATACGCGACTCTTCCTTCAAATTAAATTAAAAATTCAAGACAAAATTGAAAAAAAAACGAACACGTGTATAAATCAGATGTTCCGTTGTTTCGGATCAAAACGACAATAACATTGTGAAAAATATCGGACATGTTGGAATATGGCACATTCTGCTCTTTGAAGTTAACCACATCCCAAAATATGATTTGCATGGAACGTCTCTCACATTTCACACATATTTCTCTGTTATTTTTGCGTATTCATGTAAATGAACAGTTACTGTAAATAACAGTTTTCGTTCTGCAATTGTACGTATGTTACCATCCCAGTTTTTAATGATGATTTGATCCACTTATAACGTTAGAATCTCCCGCCATACCCCTCTCGGTTTATAATGACGACAACACTTCCGGCTGTGCGAATATGACAAATGTTCCTATGATGTAAACGAGCGTAGATACGTATAGAAACATACGATCTACGACAGCAGCGACATATTTCCAGTCATCAAGCATCTATAATATATATAGAGAAAAAAAACATTGTCAAAAAACATTAGACCCTGGATCCGGCATTCTATTTTGTTATATTGTCTCAACTACTAGCGACGTTTGCATGTTTCTTTGTTAAATGGATTGTTGCACGCAGGCTAAATGATGAATGTGTACGACTCTTGAAATTCCAGAGAACAAGTCATATTACCCATTCGTACCTGTTGTGGTGTACATACTGGACAGGTGTATTCGCAATTACAAAACTAAGGTTGCAACCGTCACTCGGAATCAAAACAAACTCCTTATGGTGTATGATGATTTCAGTTTTTACATTATGAACAGATGTCGTGCGTAAAATTGTTTATGAAAATAATGTTTACTTACTAATTTCTCTGCCTCGACGTGCTGCGCCCGTTGTCGAATGAGCATAACCTCCTCCAACAACTGTTCTAGTGTAGTGCTATCCGCTTTCCGGCAATGTCGGTGTTTTGCTTTTTTGTGTGGTCTTCCGTTCCCAATATTAACAGATGAATTGCAATTTGTCTCCTGTGGCTCGTCTTGATCGAACACTGTGTTCGTGTGTGTGACAACAACTACTTGACCCGTCTTGCTGTCGGTTTTTAATTCTGACCCGCATACATGCGGTGACAAATCATGCGTGATCGAATGAGATTTCATAATGCTAGCATGACATCTTTGCATACATAATGCTTTGGGAATGTAGTGCATAAAAATCTTGCGTATGACCGGGTGCATGTGCAGGCTGTGCACGTTGCGATTATGCAAACTAAGCACGCCTACTGATATCACAGTAGAGCATGCAATGAGGAACATATTAAACATTACGTATTGTGCAATCACAGGTATCATTTCCGACGTTGGGGGCATAATATCAGCCACTAACAAACTAAACACAGACATGGCGATCAGTATGGAGATACCCAGAGAAATCTTTTCTCCTGAATCCGGGTGCAGACAAAACATCAATAAAGTCAACAGCGCCATCATCAGGCATGGTACTAAAATATTAACTATATAGTAAAGAGGTCGTCTTGCGAAAGTGAGAGTGAACGCAAGAACGCTGTATACCTCATCCGGGCAACATTCAGGGAAATCATCTATTATTTCTACCGTTGAATTGATCAGATTCCATTCAGTATTTGTAGTGTATTTATCTCTAATAACCACATCGTACAATGGCCGCAATGACACGTGTTCGCCAGTGTATTCCCAAGGCCCAAAGTGCAAGCTACACTGCTGGACGTCGAAAGGAAAATATTTAATATTCAGCTTGCAGGGCACTTCAAAGATGGCCGGTGGTGTCAGGTAGACCGTGCCATCGGATTCCAGGGTCACGAACTGTGATAGTGGGATGTTGTACACACCATTGCCGCTGAAAAGGGAAAGTGTGTAAACGTCAATTGTCGGAACATTTTTCGAACAATGGATCATTCTGTTGTCTAGATTCTAGATCAGCGACGACAATCTGGGATGCGAAACAGGCGAAAATGGATTACTCAGTTTACTAAATGTTTTGATAAAAGATACTTTCACAGACCGCACTTTTGGCGTTTGGTTATTAACTTGTAATCGATTCAATGCTATAAGTTGATTTTTTATTAATTTAATATTTTCTATTTTGAAAAAAAAATTTTGCAAGAGATATTTATTTTCCAAACTGTTTTATTCAATCTGTGAATTGTAGCAAAAACCAACTGAAAAGCGGACATAGTTAAATTGACTTCATTATTAAGAATCTCAACGCATTCGATTTTTATTTTATTTTAAATGTACTGAACTCATCGGCTCTCTGTTTAATGAAACACTCGTGAGTCTCGCTCTTAACGAGATCTCGGCGACAATTTGCGTCCAAAGTCAATTTTTATGTTAAAATCATACCTGTTCTCAAGCACAATATCTGGGCGCCATACCCAATCTGTTGGTATAACTAAGTAACTAACATTATTGAAATTGTATGGATTCCATGACAACCGATAATCAACCCAGACCTGTAAAGTTAAAACACGTTTGTATCTGTTATTTTTTCATTGTGTGTGTGATTGGATCATAATTCACAAACACTGTAATATTCACAATATATTGAATATTTACAGACATTGTGTAAACACACAGTGTACAAAAAATACAATTTTCAACAAGATTATAGAATGATTGCCAATTATCACATAACAACACAAAATGTACTTTATTTTCAAATGAATATTTTTATGCAAATAAGAATAAAAACAAAGTGAAAAACTAACCTGTTCAACCCAACAACTTGATACTATGATTTGATTTTTTTCATGCTACAAAACATAAATCAAAGCTATTTAAAAAAATGTCATACTGGAATTGCTCCGTAACGTGAACAAGCTTAGATGACGTCACATATTTAGTACATTGTATCAAATAATGGTCGATAGTTTGCGCTGCTAGTTTGAATATGCAAAAGATGAAAATAATAGTGCTTAACAATTAACACGCTTTATCTTTTACGCAACAACGTTGTTTTGTTGAGCACAACTTAATATTCATTAGACGAAACAATTGAGAACTCTAATACGCATGCGCTCTAAATGTTTTATAGACGAGTTGTAGTCATAGTAACAGTTACACTGTAACCTTATAATGAATTTCCTGATATAATGAACACATAACATGTCTCCCGCTCATAACAAACCCAATGTAGTATGTGCTTCATTATAGTGAACATTTCACTATAACAAACTAATTGCATGTCTCCCAAAGAGTTCGTTTTAACGAGGCTACATGTATATTAAGCGTATTAGTTTTTTGAACGAATACTATTTTGTGTGGCAGTACAAAAACAACGTATTTAGTTTACGATGAGTCATAATCAAACGGATTTTTCAACATTCAGTGCCGAACACAATATATTCTCATCCGTTATTGTATCTTTATTATTAGATGTTTTGACAGTGCCCTCAACCAACCAATCCCACATACAATACCTAACCGATATCAAGAAACATAATCCGAAAAGTGATTTAATAACGAATACGGAGATATTATGCCAGCGATTGACATGTTAATCACAATGAATGAATGAAACGAGTTACAGATGAAAAGTTACATGATCTTCAAAAGATGGTGTTAGAGTGAGCACATTTTACTCCACGAGTGTGAAATAAAATATGTAAGTGAAACACGGCACACAGTGAACAATGTGGTTCACAGCACAAACAAAACGATACTTTAGACACTTGGGAATTACGTAAGTTCTATTACGTTTTATTCCTTATTCAAATATTAGACGAAGGATCATTATCCGTATGTTTATGTTGAGTAATTACAAACGATTGCGGTTACCAATTACCATTTTCGGTATATTATATTCCAGTAACGTAATCTACTGTACAATTTGATAGTATTTGATTGCACTCAATGACGTATATTGTATAGCAAAATAAATCAGTAGGTGGAATATTTATGGAGTTTGATGAATAAAGCCAAATTTTGATGTTTCGGAAGCACTGAGCACACGTAACACTTCTATATCATTCTGAGTCGTAGGCAAGAATCATCCTCAAATATGTGATATTACTTAAAAAAACCTACGAGCGCATTATTGTCATTGCTCGTGATATTGCCTAAAAATAATTTCAATATATTTTATCAGAACAGGTGGCCGAACAGCACCATGGAGTGCCGGCATGTTGGCTAAAGTGAAATAGTATTTGAGTTCTTCGCATGGTGTCTAATTAATAAATTTGTCGACTGATCATCTATACCAGTAGACGGCCGGTGGCCTCTTATATGGCCACACTCGGATTACCCGTCAACAGTTTATTACGTTCATGGGCGATGGCTCCTGCCAACAAATCGGATAACTCTTGTCAGAAACTGAAATTCAGTGGGTGTGTTACGACTTTACGTTAGACAGTTACGTTTTCTGTTAATATGTTTATTGCGGCGCCCAATTTCAGTTTTGTCGTCTTCCCATAATGCTGTGACGCATCATAAAATTCATAAATTCATAATTCATTCATAAATCAAATCAAGGAATTTTGAAATCGAATGGGTAACAGCAGACTCCCGAAAACTTGCGTACGAATAACCACGAACTATGGTTTACTTCATTCGAGCTCGCATTTTACTGTCAATTACAAAACCAAATGTTTTTTGCTTTACAGGTTACATCGTACAGTGTATAATTTAGTTTAGTTAGTTCAATGAACATTAACTTTCCAAAAGAAATATCAGTTCTGATTTAACTATATCTAAATTAACGAGCAGTAGTCATTAATTTTAAAATCTCATCACCCTAATTTTCAACATTTTTATTCCTAAGAGTAACATTAGAACCACGAGCTATCGAATTATACAATTTTATAAATAGGGTTGTTTTTATTAGATGTTTTTCTAGCTCTTAGGGGACTCAATATCATTAGAGACCGAGCCCCTAGGCTGAGAATGCATACCTTTGTCTGCCTTATAATCTTGCAGAATTTGCGTCTATTTTTTGTTTATTTGCTAAGAATTCAAGATTCCTTCTTTGCTTTGAACGGTATATCCCATTGTGACAGTACATGGCAATCAATACTTGGTAAATACATTTTAGAACGGTCTTACTGGCGTAAACCAGAATTAATCCAGTTTTGTATAGACATAAAATAACTGGATGCAACTTGATTGTCTGTGTCAAATTAAGGCAGTCATCATGGTGTAGGCGGTTCAGCCGACCACACACTGAGGAACACCAAATTTAAGTGAAATTTTGTGAGTTGGCATATAGAATCAATATAATCATGACCAAAGGCAACTGAAAATGTTAATAAGCGTAACAAAAATATGTTTTACTAAGCGTGAGTGTGTTTGTTTTAGTTGAAATCTGAAATTCTGGGTCACAGTGAACATTTGGAGGGGGTTGAACAAATTGTACGTTGTCTAATAGAGTGATCCTAATTTGATTACTGATTTTCAACACTTGTCACAATATTAGTAAACACAGCGATTTTCAATGCGTTCAAATGCCCTATATGCATCATACATATGCCCAGTCGCTAAACATTTGATAACATTGTATTGTGATTTGCATTTAAAAAAACAAAAAAACAACGATGATTAATTTAATTATACGAATCGATCCTGTGAAACGCTCGAAACACAATAATACAATAATTAACGCCGGGCTACGCACACCTTTGACCTCGAATAATTTTACTTTTCATCGCGCCTAAACTCAAACAATGGAGGTTGATGAATGCTCGATTGATAATAAAAAACATTCCCCGGCACATTCGTTAGATTGATGATGTGTGCTGCATGCGCAATATACACGAATTGCTAAGAGAAAAACTTACCACTTCCAACAGTTGCGTAATTGATAACCCAAATTCCAAAACTAATGATTCATTGTAGCTTTCCACAGGGCGTACATTTTTATTATAATTAGTAAATAACAAACTTTGCAAACGGTCTTCTACTTGTGAACCCGAGCATGCTGTTCAACAACAATAAAGAACAAATATAATAATAAATATTTGCAATAGACAATCTACAAAGTAATATATGCACATATTGAATATGATACCATTTCACAGATATGTGAAGGAACTTAGCTGGACGGGAGCATGAATGCGACAGCAATGAAATTACCACTGGACCACTACTTTTATAAAACCCAAGGATATTTTTGATTTCCTATAGAGGGTTTATCCTGATATCGACAATATCACAATATAGGTTGTTGTTAGAAAACAAGATTCAATCGGCATTAGAAATAATAAGCGTTAATATATCGTATGAAAACACATTATGAATAAATTCCCGTTTCAACTGTAAATACACACATTTCATTACATCACTTTAACCAAACCAACCCCTCCTGCAAAGCGCGAGCACAGAGAAAGTATCATGACGCGTACGTTTACCACAATATAAAGGCACAAGATATTGATATGTCGCGCGTTCATACGACTTTATCTGAGTAATCTGAGTAAGTCGATGAAAATTGGACATTTATAATATTACAGAGAAAACTACTAAACACAATTTTTCATTATAATCAAATTAGATTAATGGATTTCATGTTGGTCGTGTTCTTTTGTTACTTACCGTTTATCAGTGCAACGCATACAACGAGCGCATATAAGCATTTCCAGTCCATGTTAAACAGGAACCACGAACGTTTTGAATAGTTAAATCTCGCAGACTTGGCTTGTGGCATCAGTGACGTCACGTTTTCTACAAGTGTGATCAAAATAAAAAATGTAAAATGTATCTTCATATTATTCATAGTAACCTTATAAGGATACATATCCTTTCGTGGCACAGTATCACTACTGTGTATTTTCTAACAAGATGACTGGCCACAAGACAACTCAACAAACTAGTGCCAAAACCCGATAATAACCAGGCGCTGCTGAAAGTACAAGGAAACATAGAAAGGCACGTGGAACAGTATTTAAACTGATAGAAATCTAATATACGACATCGAAAGTTGAGCTTCATAACAGTAAATTATCTTAACAAATGCATATTTTATGGCGTAGAATCATTTATTATGTTCGATGACACTGCCAAGTGTTGGGAGTGGGAAACATGAGAGTGTCGTTCGTCACGCTAAGTATCGTTGCTAACAACTCACACCAACATGAACCAGAACTCGACATTATTTAAGCATGAGTTTTGATAGTTTAATTTCACACTTAGTTCCCGTCTGTATAACCCTAAACAGCATTACTCGATCGTAAAATTTACAGTAACAGTATTGTCAAATATCTTTTCGAAAAAAATCTTTGCGCTCGATTTGCTGATCATTGTATTTGCGTTTATACACAGACTGCCGTCATCCGCCAACTGTGCCAGACATTTAATATAATTAATTTAAATCCACGGCACAATCGTGTGACACAATACAACTCACTTCGTATTTCAAAATCAGTTGAATACAAGTAGCTTATAGGAAACAAACGCCACATCACTATATACAAGCTAATAACATGAACACTTAAACAATCGCCAGACATGTATTGGTATCGTTTTGAGTGTTTCCTTACCTACTAGGTGTAGATCGCTCAAATACTCGTGCCAGTGTGTTCAACTGGTTGTCATTTTTGAAGCAGCATGATTTTCAACCGCCCCACTCACTTAATTTATATATCCATCAAGTACATACAAGTACATTTATTACGTGTCCCGTGTTTACTGTAAAAACATATCAAATGTACCTGCTGAATAAACACACCAAGACATGGGAAGAAATGACACTAAAATATTACTTAGTAATTTCTTCAAAGGTTTATCGAATAATAGTTCCGTTTCGGATATGTGATTGGCTGATGTCAGTGATACAAAAATCAAATTCGTTGTACGTGGGAGGTTGGAGTATATCTAAGGTATAATATCACGTGGGTGGATTTCTCGATGTCTAAGTATTATCATGTAGCATAGTACGGAGTACTTAAGGGCTATCCTGAGCGTATATTTTCCGAAAACACTGGATAATTGAAATGCAAGCTAAAGAAGTATTTACGATATTTGCACCCAAACAAATAGAATGCGTTTTTTTACATTGATTACTCAATATAAATCTCGTTTTGTTATCGTTTCATTGTGCGATCTCACTGAAGTAAGTGTGAGAATTGCCTTCAATATATAATATTTACGTCAGAGCCTAAACTGGTGAACTGTGATGCAGGTCACTCACTGTTTGTCGGGTCGTAAATTGACACGTGTATTACATTAAACAAACTGCATATATCGCCATCAGTATGTAGCCATAGCAATAACATTGTGAGAAAGACACTAGAAATTATCTAGATAGATTTTCCTACTAAGTATAAGTGGATTCTCAAGTTTCTGAGCAAGATATTTCTACAAACATAAAACACACTGTTTGTTCACACTAAACCTTTTAATCTAGTTCACAAAATGTACTTTTTTAAATACATTTTTGTGCCAGGCGACAGCTCCGGACATTAAATGTCACTGCTGTCTCTCCTGACTTATTTTATATGTGCCAATTGCAAGTTCTAGTGCTGACACATAGTGCATTTTGCCATAGAAGTCATATTCATGTTTGGGACTACATGACAGGGCTGTGTGGCCATCTCTCTATCAAATGGCAATTTAATGCGCTATCCTGGCGTCAACCAGGCTCGGTCGAACACAAGCACCTGATGACCTTAACCAAAGTCGCTTTCGTTAGTGAATGCATCTCGGTAAGTGGAAAGGGCATTCTCATTGAGTCTGTGGCACACTCACGCAGGGTAGAGGTTGACCATTTAGATGTTCAGCCTAAGGTGTGATTTGAACTTGGGTCTACCGGTCATGAGTCTGATGCGACAACTACTAGGCTATCAGTGACCAGTTTAAAATTTTCTTTATATCAAATTAAATGTCGAATATTTTTATTTGCGCCGCGTGGTTCACCATGGTTATACATGTATACATATATGTGAGTATTTTCATTCATCTCCATCTGTTACATGGACGTCAATTCCGCAGACTTCAAAACATTGAACGTAGAGATATTTTCTACTGAATAATATGTTCCCAATATAGCAATTTTGTGTACTCCCGTGCTTTTAACCAAATCGCCTGGATATATATGTTTTGGGTCTATGACGTCATAAAGTAAACAAGGTGACATTTTGCTTTTAATCTGATTAGGAAAATGATTTCATTGTCAATTTATGATAATAATATAACGAGAAAATATGTAAAAGCTCGCAATAGATGCAGACAAAACGTTATACTTGCTCTTGGAGTTGGCAATTTGCTGGGGCAAATATATATCGATTACGTGGACAGCAAGCCAATTTATTGTTGGTGGTATTTAATTGTCGTACATTTATAGCACAGGTATTTTCATGTGTGTGCTTCGTTGTGCCATGCTATAGCCACTCTGAGACAACAGCGCGCAACAGTTGTACATGATCTCTTGTGTCAATTTTGACGAATAATATACGTTGGTACGTCTAAAATTGTATGCGATAAAACTAGATTACTTGACTGTATATATTCCGCAGGGCCAGTCTGTCTGATAAAACATTATTTTATTTCGCTTGAAATGCTTCTACTAAAACGAGTATAATTTCCTAGATTCCTTTTAAAATTATGTGAAAGTCAATATGTTTCGGCGTGGAAATGAAACACACACCGGAAGAGAACGGGAAATATAATTACTTTTTCTTATATTGTGGGTTGCTTTATGTAATTAAGTAAACAGCAAACACGGGAAATCTGCTGGGGATAAATTAATTATTTTTTTTTATTCAAGATTTAATTAAACGATGGTAACTCAATTAGTTAACAGGAGACAATATCACTTGGATATGAATTAACTTCTTTTCCATTAACAACAGTTTAAAGTGTAGGAATGCAGTAATTCGTACTCAAACACACGTTTGACATACAAACATTATTATCGTGGCAGTAACTCGTGTCAAGAATAGTAATAAATGAACACGATATCCTAATTCGTGGCGTCAGTTCCGTTAAATCTATCAAAAAAACACGAGTGCACTTAGAAATCGAGATAAGTAGGACTGAGTGTTAGAGCGCGTTGCTACGCACAATTAGACTGTTAATGAAATATTTGGTTATATGTGTTCGACATTATGAAATATGATATGGGTACTTGTCCTATTTCACTCGCTGGCAATATAATTTTAATTTCAACAAAGTGAAATTCATCGATTTATATCGTCGTTTAATTATTATTTGGATGCGAGAATTATTCCTCGTAATCGATAATGTCGATTATAATTGTTGGTGTCAGTAGAAGTGATTTGGTAAAAATGTATTAGTTAGGTAATAGCTATTGTTTTTTTCTTGGTTTGAAGTTAGTGATGAAACACGAAGCACAATATGCTCCTAGGTATCTAGCATAAAATTTACGGCGTTAAATGGGAATATATGATCGACAAATGTGAAGGGCAGCATAGTACAATTATGCTAAAGCTGTGGATCAATATAGATTTGAGAAGGATATAGTAAATATACAATAACTGAAAGAAAACATCAGAACTGTTCTAGTTCACATTGTTTGTTCTCTTGAGCTTGTCAGCTGACCAATTAATTAGTATACAATTACGTAATTGAAATACAACTTTACGAGTTTCAGGCAGTTACGATATTTGTTAGAATACTAGAATAGATAACGGTGGATACTATATATTGTTCGGCTCAATACATTCAAATACATAGAAGTATTTGAATTAAACTTATTATTGTTAAGACTAAAATGGCTGCCAGTCGGTTAAATCCGGTCATCGTAAAAAATAATTAGATACCTATTTTTGTTGTACGATGTTTGGCAGAGATCGGTTATAGTTGAGTGTCTGCGAAATAGCTCCCAACGCATGTACAATATGCGACAATAAAACACACAAATCATGACATTATATTATGTGTCGTGTTTAATTTTCGTTTTTATTTATTAACGATAATTGGCCAGTGGCAGAAAGTCGCGTTTTTTGAAATAAACTAAAAGATAAGAAACCCACGTTAAGATAATGATTAATATGAAATAAGGCCAATGTGAGGGAAAACTAGTGAAAGCGTATTTTTACCATAGGGTGCCCTGTTTCGCATTTCGGATTGTCCCAACTCTGAACACCTTCAGTAGGATTATCAGATTAACGTATGTTGGACGGCAATGTACTGTAGAACACGTTGAAATAGCTGCATGCAATTTTAGCGGACTTGACTCTTGGCATGAATTAATAGAATCTTAATTTAGCTAAAGTGACGAGAAAATACTTTCTGTTAAATTGGCGAAATTACAGATAAGGTAAATTAGGTAAAATAGCATGCTAGCTAAAAACACATGTTTTACAGTATATATTTTACTTTTACTATGCCACAGGAATCGACACACTTAAATGCGAATATTTTCTCGCAATTTCCATCTAGTAAGTTGAAGGGCTAATCTGCACTGGCTCGGAAGGTTGTAAATGATTAGCTAGTTTGAATTTGCATAACAATACTGACAATGAACGTGCATTCAACGCCACAAGTTTTTTTGTTTTTTTTAGCCAATCAGAATTCATCTTCCGAGCCAGTGCAGATCAGCCGAAGTTGAATCCGCCGTCGTAATGTCTGTGCATAAATGTACATAGCGTCTTTCTGGTCAGTCCATGTAATGTAGTATTAACGTTACGAT